TTTATCTTGCACATACACGGTCAGATATTGCATACGCTGTAAGTGTAATAAGTCGGTTTATGCATAATCCTAAGGAAGTTCATCTGCAGGCTGCTCATCGAATTCTGCACTATTTGAAGGGATATTTAGAAGAAATGGGGGACTGGCTCTTGAAGCATATACAAATGCCGATTATGCAGGATCTTCAGTAGATAGATGGTCCACTTCTGGTTACTGTACCTTTTTGGGAGGAAACTTAGTAACTTGGAGGAGTAAGAAGCAAAATGTAGTGGCTCGGTCAAGTGCAGAGGCAGAATTCAGGGCTATGGCACAAGGAGTGTGTGAATTACTCTGGTTGAAGATAATTTTAGAAGACCTGAAGATTCCACGAGAAGAGCCTATGAAACTATATTGTGACAACAAGTCAGCCATCAATATTGCTCACAGTCCTGTTCAACATGACAAGACGAAGCACATTGAAATTGACCGACACTTTATAAAAGAGAAACTGGATAGCAAGTTGATTTGCACTCCCTATGTATCTACAAAAGGACAACTGACCAATGTACTTACTAAAGGGCTCAATAGTACAGACTTTAGAAGAATTATAGCCAAGCTGGGAATGGAGGATCTCTATTCACCAGCTTGAGGGGGAGTGTTGGAAAACGTGGGATTACTGGTGTAGATGTATATTTGGTAGTTAGCATTTATATTTGGTAATTGTGTAAAAATAGAATTATGTGAATATGTATTCCTAGGATTGTGGAAAAATATAATCCCTTAAATATGGGGATTAAAAAGGTTAGTCCCTTAATTATAGGGATTGATTTAGAAAGTTTTTTTTTTCTATTTATTGCAGCAGCTTACTGTATAAATATGCCGATTGGCAATGGAATGAAGCAGATCAGTTTTCTACCATTTCAAACAAACCATATGACAGGAGCCACACTCGGTCAGTATCCCAAACCCCATCTTCCCAATAAACGCATTGTCACTACAAATGGTGAAAAATTATATATACTTGGCTGTGATGATTTGTATTTATCTACCTCTAAGTCATCTCCGTTTCATTTATCCAAAACTTTATTTTTACCTAAGCTCACCACCAATTTAATTTCTGTTGGCCAACTTGTAGAGGAAGGTAACACTATCTCATTCACTTATGATGGCCGTTTGATACAGGACTAGCAAACTGGGGAGGTGAAGGGGAAGGGGTGTAGACCGGGATGACTATTTGCTCTGGAGTTTGAGAAGAATAAGGCTGCACCCGTTTCTACTTCTTGTTTGCTTTCTACTACTAGTTTTGAGTCCTTTAATTGTAATAATGATTGGCATTTGTGGCATAAACGCCTTGGCCATCCGTTTTCTTAGAAACTTGATTAGTTATTTGCTTCTGGTAGTTTACCTATTTCTGTTATTTCCTTTAAGAACGTTAATAACGGCTGCATTACTTGTGGTTTATGTAAGAGTCATATTTTACCTTTTCCTTCTCACCTTGAGAGTGCTACAATTCATTTTCATTTAATACATAGTGATGTTTGGTCATCTCATGTTATTTCACGGTTGGATTATAAGTACTTTGTAACCTTTATTAATGGCTACACCCGTTTCACTTGGGTTTATTTTCTTAGAAAGAAATCTAAAGTTTATTCTGTATTTAGGCACTTTCATGCTTATGTTACTACCCAATTTGATGCCTAGATATGTGTGCTATGACCGAATTCAAGTGGAGAGTATTTTGATGGGGATTTCCAAACGTACTTAAAACATGGAATTCAATCCCAAAAATCCTGTCTAGGCACCCCACAACAAAACGTGGTAGCAGAAAAAAAGAATGGGCATATTTTGAGTGTAGTTAGGACACGTCTACAAGATTCCCATGTACCCTCTTGGTTTTGGGTGGAGGCGGCCAGCACTGCTGTGTATCTCATAAATCGTCTTCCTCCATCTGTTTTAAATAATTCTTCCCCTTTCCAAACTCTCTTCCACAAACCTCCAGATCTATCTATGCTCAGGGTTTTTGGTTGTGCTTGTTTTGTTCACCTTTCACCTCATGAACGCACAAAGCTAACTACACAAGCGGCTTTGTGTGCCTTTATGGGGTACAGTTCTGAACATAAAGGATTCCTTTGCTATGATCCTTTGGCCCGTCGTATTCGAATCTCTCGTAATGTAGTTTTCCTTGAGAGTGTCTTTTTTCAACATATTGTAAAATTTCCAACTCCTTCCACTTCCTTGTTGCACAGTTTTGAGTCTACAAGTGCCTCAAGCATATGCATACCAATATCACCTTCGTAGCAACTTCAGACCTACATCAGGAAGCAACGGTCTTCTTCAGTCTCAATGCCCCCCTCCACTCCACCACTAGTTGTTGATCCAGTTACTCCAATTGCCCCAGTAAGTGCACCTGATCCTCCACTTGAACCCACTATACCCACTTTACGTCGTTCTTCTAGAATTTCTTGCCCACTTGACCGCTATGGTTTTTTATCGGACCATAGCTCCTTCTTTGTTGTTTTATCTATCATAGACATTCCCAGATCTTACCAGCAGGCTGTACTAGAACCATAATGGAAAGAAGCCATGGATTCTGAGATCCGAGCCCTTCTTGAGAATGATACCTGGGATTTGGTCAAAGCTTCACCTGAGACACCTCTCATAGGGAGTCGATGGGTCTACTCCGTGAAACTGAAATCTGATGGGAGCCTAGATAGATACAAGGCCAGGTTGGTTGCACAAGGCTATAAACATGAATATGGGATAGACTATGAGCAAACCTTTGCTCCTGTAGCAAAAATGATCACTGTACGACTTCTGATGGCTATATTTACAGCCAAATAGTGGACAATCCATCAGATGGACATAAAGAATGCTCTCCTCAATGGGGAGTTGAAGGAGACAGTCTATATGAAGCCCCCTCCTGGATATTGTACAGACCCACAACTTGTTTGTCGTATGAAGAAGTCACTCTATGACTTGCAGCAAACTCCTAGAGCCTGGTTTGAGAAGTTCATATCTATTATCACTGATGCATGCTTTATCCGGAGTTCTTCAGATTATTCTTTATTCATTTTAAGGTGGAAGCAGGGAGTGACGATCTTACTTCTTTATGTTGATGATATGCTCATTACAGGGGATGATGTATAAGGAATTGCTGAACTGCAACAGTTACTCAGTAAATCCTTTAAGATGAAAGACTTGGGGCCTTTGACATATTTCTTGGGGTTTGAAGTGAGCCAAAACTCTCGGGGCTATTTTGTTAACCAACAAAAGTATGCAGTTGATCTAGTTAAACTGGCCAATCTCAGTGACTCCAAGATTGTGGATACCCCACTAGAACTGAATTTGAAACTCAGCAAAGATGATGGTTCTCTTCTGGAAGATACAACTCTTTATCGTCAACTAGTGGGGAGTTTAATCTATCTCACTATGACTCGGTCGGATATATCATATGCAGTTCAACTGGTGAGCCAGTTTGTGTCTTCTCGAAGACAACCTCATTTATCTGTAGTTCATCGGATCATTAGATATGTACGGGGCACCTTATCACATGGGATATTTTTCTCCTCTTCATCCCCCATTAACCTTACGACTTATGTGGATGCTGATTGGGTTGGATGCCCTAACACCCAACGGTCCACTACCTACTAGTGTGTATTCTTAGGCAACTCCCTTATCTCGTGGAAGTGCAAGAAACAACCTATTGTATCAAAATCTTCCACTAAAGATGAGTACAGAGCTATGTCTTCCGTGTGTAGTGAAATCATATGGCTTCGAGCTCTTTTACTTGAAATACTTAATGAACCATCGCCGTCTGTTCCTCTCTATGCAGACAATGTCAGTGCAATCAGAATTGCCTCCAACCCTGTCTTCCATGAGCGCACCAAACACATAAAAGTTGATTGCCACTTAATCCGCGACCTCCTTCTTGAGGGTGTTATATCTCTTCCTCATGTCTCCTCCGAGCTCCAATTGGTGGATCTATTCACAAAAGCAATGACTTGGGCTTGACATCTATTTCTCATGGACAAACTGATGCTTATTCCTAGGCATTCGTTTGAGGGGGAATGTAGAGATAGTGAGAAGATCTAGCCGTAGGGCTATTTTTGTACTTTTGCTTCTTTTGTTATACATCTATTTTCTGTACTCTTTCTTTTGTATACTAGGGGCAGATTTGTCCTTTTACTTTCTTTAATATAAATCTCTCTTTTAGGGTGTCGACAGTCACAAGGCGACACACCCACCAAATTGTTTGTTCTTTTCTCTCTTCTATTTCTGCCTTTTCGACTTGACTCTGACACTGCATTCCCCATGATGGTTCACCATTGAGATACCCCATTTTCGTAGTCCATAGTCCTAAAGCCTTATAATTTTGCAACCCTGTGGTTGATAGAAGTATTTTTAAACATTAATATTTGAGCTGAGGCATCTCAGTATTTCTCTTACCTAAATCATGAAGAATAAGGCTCAAGCTGGTGCAATGTTTGAATAAGTAAATGAATAAACAATAGGAATATATAATTGAAAACTTAGGGTTTCTCATGGTAGTATATGAACGAAGAGCAGTCTTAGGTGTATTGGAATGAATAACCGCCACCTCCAAAGGTTTTATTTTATTAAGAGAGCATAGATATGTACAATTACCAAACTGCCTCTGCGCTAAATGAAAACACATAGTTTTGTACAACCAACCTATTTTATAACACCAGGACGATAGAAAAGATACCATTATTATATTCAAAGAAATGCACAAATACATAAATCTATGCACACTCCTCAAACTGGTGCGAGGATAGTATCAATTTATCAAAAAGAAAGTGATGATGAGATCTAGTGGTAGCTTTAGTAAAGATGCCAGCACACTTGGGATCAGAGGAAACATGAAGAAGTATGATAGTGCCTGCAAGAAATTGGGCTCAAACAAGGTGACAGTTCACCTCTGTATGCTTTGGTGCAGTCATTAAAGGCCCGATTGGGAGCAATGCTTATGGCACTTAAGTTGTTGGCATAAAGAGGCATGGGGCCAGTGAGAGGAATTAGAGACTCTTAAGAAGACCTTGTAACTAAATAATTTTCACTGCAACCAGCGGACATAGAACAGTACATTGCTTCATCATAGGATTTGGGATAGTGGGTTGTTTCTTGCATTTCCAGGATATGGGAGAATTTATTGGCAACTTGAACAACATGAGTAATATTAGGGGGAGATTTGATTGGCAACTTGTATCAATCAATTTTACCATCAAACTTGAGCTCAGAATTCTCCTTTCTCTACCCTTGTGCTTAAAAAAGGTGCAATAAACTTAAAAGACTTAAAACTAATAAGCTATGTAGGAAAATTCTAAAAAATCTTGGCCAAGGTGTTGGTTGAAAAAATGAACTAGTGCCTTCAACTCTTATTTCTAAGTCACAAGGAGCATTGGTCCTAGGAAGGCAAATGTTGGATGATGTGCTCTCTGCAAATGAATCATTGATTTCCAAATTAATGGAATGCCTGCCAAGTATACTTCGCAAGATTGACTTGAAGAAGCATAATGCCATGTGAGTTCAAAATTTCTGGATTATATACTAGACAGAATGAGGTTTAGTTTGATGTGGAGAAGCTGGATTTAGGTGAATGTTTGAACCAAGAAATCCTCCATTCTTCTCAGTTCTCACATGTGAACTAGCTAATTTCTTTAGAAGTTATAGCAGCAACTTGCAAGATGACTCCCTTCCCTCCCTCTTGTTCATGTGTGACTAAGGCCTCTAGACTCACACACAAAGTGGTGGATGGTGGTACTGGAGGATTTTTGTAGTGAGGAAGGTGCTTCCCAGGTCAATTTGTTACGGTTTGCTGAGAACACTATTTTCTTCCTAGGTTTTCATGTCAACCTTAAGAAAAGTTTCATTATCCCAATTGGGTAGGCAAAAAATCTGAAGGAAGTGGCTGATATGGTATGATGTGTCACTAATAATCTATCTATCAAGTATGTGGGTCTACTCCTGGGAGGTGGGAGCTAGATGCAATGCCAACCATATATGGGATCTGGTTATAGAAAGAGTGGAAAGAAAGCTTGCTCTTGGAAGACAAAAGATCTCTCAATAGGTGGTAAGTGGTAACTGGTAAGTAAGGGATGCTCCCATAGTTTTCTAGGTGCTAGGGTGAGGCTAGTTGACAGGGGCGGTGCTTTATCGCCTAGGTGCCTAGGCGTCCCCTTGGTGATTTTTTTTAAATAAAAATCCTAAATCTTAGGGAAATTCCCTAGGTTCCATAGCAACCAGCATTTATCTTTCACTAGTAATTATTGATTATCTTCATAAAAAGTATAAACTTCCTATTGGGTACCACTTATTAGTGTAAGAGGAAACCTTTCTGAAAAGAATCAACACATGATCTTCTTCAAAGAAAAAGACCCAAGACTTGTCTATCCCCACACAGGTGTGTTATTTGCAAAGCTGATGGAGAGACTGGGTACCACTTATTAGTGTCTTGTCATTATGCAACATCTATTTGGCCTGGGCTTTGTCCATCTTTGGGTGTAGCTGGATCCCCCCTCCGAATGTGCAGAGTTTATTTTCTTCATCCTTTTTCAGTTGGCCTGCAAAGAGGGGTAGGATCATGTTGAGGAGTGTTAGGGCTGCTGTATGTTGGTCTTTGTGGGAAGAAAGAAACTCCAGAATCTTCTCAGAAAAGGAGAGGGAAGTTGAGAACTTAATGGAGATGATCCACCTAAGGGTAGTGCATTGGCTGAAATCCATGAATTTGTTTTCAGACTTTTCTGTGGATGTTTTGTTGGGAAATTGGAAAGAAATAGTAAAATCAGTCCAGGTCAAGAGGGTCATTAGTCCTTCTTGGATCCCCCTTCTGCTGGGTATATAAAAAACTTTGATGGCAGCAGCATTGGGAATCCAGGACAATCAGGAATTGGAGGGGTTTTCAGAAACGAGGAAGGAAATACTATTGCCCTTTTCTCTGGTCCAATTGGGGAGGGTGACTCTCTCAGGGCTGAGACATCAGCAGCCCTGGAAGGGGACCCAAAGAGCAAGAGAACTGGATATTAGGAGACTGATTCTTGAAGGAGATTCGGAGATAGTAGTAAGTTGGTTAAAGGAAGACAAGCCTGGTTTGTGGAAATACAACAATGAGAGGAAAAAATTTAAATGGCTGGCAAAGGATATTGAAGTTAAGTACAACTGGGTTAAAAGAACTGCAAATGCCTTTGCTGACGGGCTAGCTAAGCAAGGGGTGTATAGGGCTTCATTGTTTTGGGCTTCTTTCTAATTCTGTTTTTTGCTTGTGGGGGAGTTAAGACAGTTTACCTCCCTCTGTTTGATCGTAATACCTCCTAATTAATTCCAATGAAATTCTGTTATTGGTCAATGGTTCGAGACAGTTTTCAGTTCTTCCTTGATTATCAGTTCAGAGTTTGAAATCTTCAAGGGTTTGAGACAGCATACACCAACATGTGTGTCGATCGAACCCTAACAAGTAAGAAAATAAAAAAAACTAGTATATGAATTCACAAAATGAATAATTTAGTGTCATAATGTCTATTTTATTATTATATTCTCAAAAAGAAGGAATACAAAAAATACTTTATAAACACTGATAATTAGGCTGAATAGAATGAAATCTTTTAGTTTCAAGGTTCTGTTCCCAGTAAAAAATTAGGCTGATTAGTGGAATCAAAGTATGGACATACCATTAATATATGGTTTATGAAACTCCTCTTACATGCTTCAGCTTTATGGTTGTATCATAATCTCTTTTTCTTTTAGTGTCATTATCTAGCTAAGAATATCTGCATATCTTATATTCTTTACTGTTTTCTATGTTTTGACCAGATTGACATATGGGAAGAGAGAAAAGTTTTTGGTTCTCGTGGGCAAGTCCTCAAGGAAGAGCTTGTAGGAAGGAACTTGGGAAACAGCAATAGAAGTGGAAAACATTCAGCCTTCAAACTAGTGAGTGACACTTTACTGATGCGTGGATTTATTTTTGTTGGAATATTGCAGTTTATTTTTATTGTTGTTGTTTACCAGAAACCATCTGTTGGAGATACACTGGAAAAAATTATTTCAAGTTATGAGGTTCTTTATGATGGTTCTGTGGATGAAGATGCTGTATGGAGCAAATGCAGAACTGCTATTAACAGTCTTGAGAAAGTAGAGAAAGAAGTTGGTGGCAGTTTTAGCTCAGGTACTGCTTAGGTTGACTGCATTTTTTTCCATTTATCTTCCCTTTTCATCATATACTATTTCTTGAAGTTTTTTCAAGTATGATGTCTATTTTTACATTGCAAGCTTTGCATTGTTATGTAAAAGATTTGCATCATTCATAGTTTTGCAGAGTTCTTGTTATTTCATTTTTCTATAATATGATTAAAACAGCAGTAAGAGACTTTTTATCTATTTTGCAATCTCAGCCATGTTGTTATCAATGAATTTGATTTCAAAAAAGTTCATCATCTCATCATTCATGCCTTATCCCAACTGTATGGGGTTGGCTACATGAATCTTGTTTCACCAATCCATTCTATTTAAAGCCATATCCACTGGACACCACAACTGGGCATTGCCATGGTTGAGTAGCCATTATTGAAGGCACATCCATTAAATACTCATTTGGGGTTCCTCATTTCATCTACTCTACGATTTTATTCATGGTTTCTTCACTTGTGATGGAGAATACCTTCTTATGAAACACCCAATCAATATGCAGTGCAAGAACCATGCAGTCACAGTGTTGTCTTATCACTTACAAACCATGCAGTCACAGTTTGTTACTGGAAGTTTCGAATTCTTTTTTTTTTAAGATAAATAAAAAAATTCATTAAGCTCAAGAATCAACTACATCATCAAGCAATGAGAAATCACCTGAAAGAAAAAAAAAAAAGAAATAAAACAAAACAACACTGAACCCACCCACCGACAGATCTTCAATACCTCCCCCAAATCAACCCAGCATATAACAAAGAACCCACATCGACCCACTCCCAAGAAAAAAATGACCCAAATCCATTCACTTCAAAAAACCACTCTACCAACAGAGTAAACCCGATTCCTATCCACTCCAATTCCAACACTATTTTCTTGATCCTTAACTTCTAGTTCCATAAAAACCTTCCTTGCAAACTCCCCCCCTCCCCCACCTACAAAAAATAAACCCATAATTTTGCTTACTTGCACTTCCACATCCACGACTTTGTTTAGATCTATACACACACATAAATTCAAATGGCACATGAGGAAGGATAGTCATTCTTGCAAGTTACTCGTTTTGGTCTTTTGGAACATGGGATTGGATGCAATGCTGTAGCACTAGTACTGTTTGCATAAAAAGGTATAGGTGAGATCCTTGGGTCGGATTGGGCTGTTGGGACAGTCTGAGAATTCATTTGAGTGGGTGATCATAGTGACAGGATCAGCCCCTTTGTCGAACAAAGTGAATGATCGGGGATGCACTCTCTCTGATGGAAACCTAAACTGCTGGCAGTTGATTTCAACTGTTGAAATTTGTTTTGCAAAATATATTTATATAGAGATATACATATATATTATGTTTTCAAATTGTTTGCAAAAAGTTTTAATTCCTGGGATCCATGTGAGTAGAGAGTGCAGCACTGTACCTTGCACCCAGGGGAGAGGTTCTCTCTTGTCGGGCAGTGTTTGATCATTATGGGCTGAGAGGTTAAGCGTAAGACCTTTGAGGGTAATACCTGATGGGCTAATCTTGCATCTGCTCACAATCCTTGGGTTTTTATAAGTTGGCTTGACCTAGTGACCATTTAGTGTAAATGTTGGGCCCAATAAGAGCCCATGGTGATGGACTCAAGGGTTCACTGTCTCCTATAGTGAATTCGGCCAGGCCTTATAACAAAGGCTGGGCTGAACCCATGTGGCTAATGTGTAGATCAATGTTTAGGTCCCACGCATTACAAAGATATCCAACTGGGCAGCAATTTGGAGGATAAGTGAGCACATAGACTTAATGGGCCTAAAGCCCAATTCGAATTGGCTTAATGAGATTAATTAAAGAGGGGCGGTTCTGGGATTTAGATCAGCGGATAGGATAAGGGATTGTCCCTATCCACTCAGAGAGTCCAGATCCAAATAGAGATTTGGATCAGGAAACTCCTAATTAGATTAGGAGGGCTGATCTTTATCTGCAGATAAGATAAGAGATTATCCTTATTTCTTGAAGAGAGTCCAGATCCAAATACAAGATTTGGATTAGGAAACTCCTAATRGGATTAGRAGAAYCTCTYTTTAAGGCTATAWATAGAGGAGCAGGGYGAACCTCCAGTTCATCCATCAGTCTACTGATTTAAGAGAGAAGACAACATACAGTTTGACTGCTTCTATCTTCTGCTCTTGCTCTCTCCTGCCATTGCCGCCATACCTGTTCGATCTCCACTGTGGGAGCAATCAAGAAGGGTTCTTGATATTACCTTTTGGCAGAAAAGGTAATCAGAAGTCGTGCTCACTAGCCCTCCATCGGATTCTTGTTGAAAAATCAGGTTCTTGTTGAAGAGCCATCCTGCTGATTCTATTTCATCTTGCACCGTGTCATCTTCGGTGGAAGCAGTCTTTGGATTTGGGCATGAACACCTTCATTGGAGGTTATCGTTACTTCGTATCAGGTATAACCCTCCACTCCCTTTTGGTTTCAGATCTAGTCTGGTTTAGGTTCAAGATTGATCCTTGAAAATGCAGTTTTCTAAAATAGGGAATGTGATTCCCACATGGGAGAGAGAGATTTTTGAAATTTCGCCCAACCTACCTGCAGGGTTCGGCCATCCATATGATGGATCTCTCATCCCTTCAATAATCCCATAGATATAGATTGGGATGGTTCAATTGATGATAAATGTTCCACTTCTAGGTAGTGATTTAAAAGGCATGCCTAGGCGCACAGGCGAGGCGCATTTCAAGGTAGGCGCCTCGCCCAGGTCCTAGGCACAACCCTTTCAAAAGGCACATGTTTGGTGCACCTTGCGCCTCAGCCCAGGTGTGCGCCTTTTGAAACTTTGACACTTTTTTGCTTTCTTTGTGTCTAGCGGCTGGGCCAAGGGCTCAGCCCCCAGACCCCCATGCCATGTCCCTCGAGGCAAGCCCAAACAAGTCCACGTTAGGTCTTAAATTCTTTGTTCTCACACAAAAAATAACGATTTTATAGTTTTAATTTCTTTTTAAGAAGACATTTAAAAAGCAATTAAAATTATAAAATCATTATTTTTTGTGTAAGGACTAAGAATTTAAGACCTAATGTGGATTTGTTTGGGCTTGCGTCGAGGGGCGTGGTAGAAAAGCGGCTTGTAGAATCAAGAGTGTAATGTGTTTTACATCACATTAGCTACTTGAAGTAATGCAATTGAGAAAAAAAGAGATTGTGTGTTTCATATGCTTGAAAATGTTTTATATATTTGATTTTATTTTTAAATTCTCATTTGAATATGCTTTACATGTTATATTTATGTATTTTAATATTATATAATAGATTTTTTAAAACATTTATTTTAAAATTAAAGTTTATCTTTTTATTAATCTTATGTTTAATAATTTTTGGCATTTTTTTATTTTTTATCCTTTTTATTTTATTTTCTTGCCTTGCTTAAAAAAGGCGCGCGCCTTGCCTTGCGCCTTAGGCGCAAATTGACCCCTGCGCCTTTTTTGCGCCTTGCGCTTTTAAAACACTGCTTCTAGGTATAGTACTCTTGTTGGTAGCAATTTGGTATCATGGAGGAATAAGAATAGTTGGTTGTAGCTTGATCTAATGCTGAAACAGTGTACAGAGTCATGGCTCATGGCATTTCAAAGATACTGTGCATTTGGTTGCTACTTGATGAGGTGGGACTTGAGTATGAAAGATCAATGATGCTCTACTCTAACAATCAAGTAGTATTAACATAGGTTATAACCCCATTCAGCATAACAGAACAAAATATAGTGAGGGGGATAGGCTTTTCAATTAGGTAGTGGGTGTCTTTTGGTAAAATTTGTCATCCATTTGTGCCGTCAAATAATTAGTTGGTAGATGTGTTCACTAAAGGGGCACTCAACTCTGAGCTGAATCATAATGTAAGCAAGTTGGGCATTATTTGTATCTATACTTGGCCTCAGGGTGAGTGTTGAGAGTGAAAGCAGTTGTCGTTCTAGTGTTGATTATGTTATTTTTTGTTCTTATTCATTTCTATCTTTATCATTGTCAGTCAGGAGTATTATTGTAATTTTTTTGCAAGTTTCATATAAATAGCAAAGGAAGGGGTTGTGCCCACATCCCAAGAAGTTCCCTCCATTCTCTCTCTTTTCTTCTCCTCTTCATTCTCTTATAAAATCTCTTTAAACCTAGATTTACAGATTAACCAAGAAGTTCTCTCTATCATGTTCTTTCTGTAATGTTGTCTTCTTGGTGAACAGGACAACTGAATGGTTCTGAATTTTTGGAAGAATTGCAAGGGCAGCATGATATTCTGAGAGAATGTATTGAACAACTGAGAGTGGTTGAATCATCAAGAACAAATCTTGTGTCTCATTTAAGGGAGGTTCTTCAGGAGCAGGTTGGTTGTCTAGAAGGCTCTTCAGGAGCAAATCTTCTGTCTTTTCTTTCATTTTATAAATAATTTATTTTCTTGGAAGAGAATTAACATGAATATGTTCTTAGGAATTGAAGCTGGATCAAGTGCGTAATCAACTTAAGGTAATTCTTTAACTCTTCTGTCCATGTGATTTGTAGGTCAAAGATTTATCTTTGGACTTTGACATTTAAGATTTTGGAGGTTCCAAATAAGGTGATAAAAAAAGAATAATGGCCTGGGAAATTTAAAGGTATTGGTCTGTGCATGTTTACAAATTTGAGTGTTGGTTTGGAGTAGGGGTGTGCTTTCTGGTTATCATGCATGAGGTTTCATTTTTCTTGGTTTATGTGATATTTGTATATGTTTTAGGGATTTTTACAAACAATTAATGAAGTTTTGTTAATTGACAAAATTGGTGACATTTTGAAAAAAAAAATGTTCAAATTGGTCAACATAAAAATTAAAATTCTTTTTTGGATAAAATTGCCCTTTCTTCTATGTTTCTTTTTGTACACTGAAAAAGGAACAACTTCCATGTCTCTCTACTGGAGTGGCAACACATTGCCGACCATTAGATTGGCCTTGTTGTCATAGTAGAGGAATTCACCCGTGTACATACCTTCGACAGCTATGAAGAGTTCCTTCTAGTGCTTGTAGTGATATTGTGTTGGGATACTGCCCAACTCAGGAACCTCTTCGAGGGGGTTCACCTCCAACAGAAGAATAGGGGAAGAGGGAAGAAGAAGAAATTAGGAAATATCTCTCTGCATGCCTTCCTCTCTTGCCGGACTTACTATTTATAACATTTTATTACAATCATTATCCACTATTCGTTCCTTAACCAATTCTGATTTCCCATGTGCAAATCCTAACTGATCAGGCTGACATGTTCTTCAGTCTGCGAGTGTACACAAAACGAACTGGGTGCCAGGCCTGGGCTGCTGTCCGCATGGCCTTCTCATGGGCCTGAGTTGCAGCTGGGGTCTGTGAGTCTAGTGGGCTTCCATCAATTGCCTCCCCCTCAACCAACAACCTTGTTTTTTTTTTTTTTGATCAGAACTCAACAGCAACCTTGTCCTCAAGGTTGAAACCAGGGTACTGATGCTTGATGTAGTAAGAGCATGATTCCCAAGTTGCGTTGTCTAGAGGAAGCCCAGTCTAGGCAATTAAAGCCTCTTGTACCAACTTCTTACCCTGTTTCACCCAGCAGTAATCCAGCACCTAAAGAGGAATCAACTGGGGTGTGCCATCCTCTAAGAATTCAGGGAGGGTGGCGCAGACCTGTGTGTTTGGGTTGAGGCACCACTTCAGAAGAGAGACATGAAATATAGGTTGCAGTTTGGAGACGGGGGGAAGAGCCAGCTGGTAAGCTACCTCGCCTACCCGGGCTGTTATTTGAAATGGACCATAGTACCAGGGAGATAGTTTTTGGTTTGCTTTTCTTGCCACAGTCAACTGCCAGTAGGGCTTGTAGTTTCAAATAAACAGAATCACCAACTTTGAATTGCATTTCTTTATGCCTCTTCTCATAATAGAACTTCATCTGAGACTGAGCCCGGCGTGGGTGGTCCTTTAACAATTTTAAAACTTCATCCCGTTCTGTTAGGTGGGCATCCACCTCTTTGATGGCTGAGAACCCTTTCTCATAAGGTAGAATAGATGGGGGTTCCCTCCTGTATAGTGCTTTGAAGGGTGTCATTACCAGCCAGGGCGTGAAAGGAAGTGTTATTACCAAAGCTCTACCCACAGGAGCCATTTAGTCCATTGCTTAGGTCTGTCACCGACGAAGCAATGGAGGTAAGTCTCCAGGGACCTGGTCACCACCTCAGTTTGGCCGTCCGTCTGTGGATGGTAGCTGGTTGAATAATGCAGTTCAGTTCCTTGAGCCTTGAAGTAGTCCTTTCAAAATCTACTCATAAAAGTAGGGTTCAAATTTGTTACAATGGACATCAGGGTGCTTTGGAGCTTGGCAACATCTTGGATGAAAATCCGTCCCACTTGGGATGATGTGTAGGAATGGGAGAGGACAGAGATATGGGCATACTTTGTGAACCAACCAACAACTACTAGGATGATTGACTTACCATAAGAAGTAGGGAGGTCGGTGATAAAATCTATGGTAATCTCCTCCTAGACTTTGTTTGGTATGGGTAGAAGTTGCAAGAGTCCTGCAGGGGCCTGGCTATTGTATTTATTATATTGACATACATGGCACACTACAACATAGTCCCATACTGAACTAGGTTATGGGCAATGTTAATTGTTGTTTGATTATCACAATATAACATCATAGGTTCTTCTATGACTATCACCATGTGCCATAGCTCTGTATTCAGCTTCTGCACTTGACCTTGTTACAACTGACTGTTTCTTACTCTTCCATGAAACCAGATTACCTTCAACAAGAGTGCAAACTCCTGATGTAGATCTCATGTTATCTGCCCAATCAACATCTGTCTAATCTTCTAACTTCAAATGTCCATGGTCAGCAAACATTATGCCTCTACCTAGTTGTCCCTTTAAATAGGCAAGTATCCTATCAATAGCTTCCCAGTGTTGAACTCGTGGGGCATGCATATACTGACTTACCACACTAATTGCATAAGAGATCTAGTCGTGTCATACATAAGTATAACAACCGGCCCACCAATCTCTAATACCTTCCAACAACCTTCACTAGCTCACCATCTGAAGCATTCATCCTGTGGTTTTAATCAATAGGTGTATCAGCTGGCCTTGCCACAAGTTTTCTTGTCTCCTGTAGTAGGTCCAAAACATATCCTCTATGAAATGAAGATCCCATGCTTGGACCTTGCCACCTTAATGCCCAAAAAAATACTTTAGCTCCCCAAGGTCCTTAATCTCAAACTCCTAGTATAGGTTTATTTTCAAGGTATCAATCTCACTTAGGCCATTTCCCGTGACTACAATATCATCCACATACACTATCAACATTGACACTAATGATCCCGTTCTCTTTACAAATAGAGTATGATCAGATTGAGTTTGAGTATAGCCAATTTCAATCAATGCACTCCTAAGCTTGTCAAACCAAGCTCTGGGTGATTGCTTTAAACCATATAAAGATTTCTTTAATATACATAACTTTCCTTTGGCTACATCACTATAAAAACCAACTGGAACGTCCATGTACACCTCTTCCTGCAAGTCTCTGTTAAGAAAAGCATTTTTCACATCAAGTTGGAAGAGAGGCCAAGAGTAGGTAGCTGCTAGAGATAAAAGGATCAAAACTGAACTCATCTTGGTCTTCAGTGCAAAAGTTTCTAAGTAAAGTTTGAGTGTACCCTTTTGCAATCAGCCTCGTCTTATACCTTTCTATGCTTCCATTAACCCTGTACTTCATTGTATAAACCCATCTACATCCAACTGTCTCCTTGCCATCAGGTAAATCTACAATCTCCCATGTCTGATTTTTAATCAATGCTTTCATTTCTTCTTGCATAACTATCTTCCACTTAGGTTTGGAGAGAGCCTCACTAACACTCTTAGGTATAGACATCGAGTCAAGGGAGGAAAGTAATGCCCGGTAGGAGGGAGATTACCTACTGTAGGAAAGGTGATGTGAGATGCAATGAGTTGTACGCTTCCTTTTCCCCTTCCAGAGTGAAATAGGGAGGTCTAGGTCATCTACAATAGTGTTAAGAACAGGGGTGTTAGTATCAACAAGAACTGGACCATTAGAGGGAGCAAGAAGCATACCTGGGCATGTGTTAATAGAACCTGGAATCTCCGATGAATCGATAAGGAGTGGCATGGGTTCCCTTGCTGTGGAATCAACCTCCTTGTGTTGTCATAGGTGTTGTCGTGTAAAAAACTAAGAGGCACAACACAGTGGAGTTGGCAAAGTGGGTGGAGCAGGTGGGTCAAACACTGGAGTGGACAAAGGAGCTGTATCTGGACCTAGTGGAGCTAGCAAAGTGGGTGGAGCAGATGGGTCAAACACTTGAGTGGACAAAGGAGCTAGAACGGGAAGTGGTATAGATTGCTCACTTCCTTCCCCAAAACACTCCCCTTGAGAAGAACTGCCTATGAAAAAGGGTGTTGACTTAAAGAAAGTGACATCCAGACTCTTTGAAATCGGATCATAATAAGAGTACCCCTTCTGGTTTCCTGCATACCCAAGGAAAACACACCTTTCTGCCTTAAGGTCTAGCTTTGAGTGGTGAGGACCAAGAATGTGGGCAAAACATACACATCCAAATACCCTTAAAGGAACATGGAACATTTCCCCCTTGGGAAAAAGAAGGCTAAATGGAGTAGTGTATCCAAGAACACAAGAGGGTACCTGATTAATCAAGAAGACTGTAGAGCTCACCATTCTATTACACTATTCTGTTCTGGAGTATATGTACTACTGCTATGATGGGCTACTCCATGCTCCAATAAGTATGATGCTAAATTTTTCTCAAAGTATTCCCTGACATTATTTTCTCTAAACACCTTCGCTCATACTCTAAACTACATTAACACCATTTGATGGAATTATTGTACCAAAGAAGGTACTGATCATGGGATCTCATCAAGTATATCCAAGAGTACCGAGAATAATCATCCACAAATAGGAGAAAACAACGGTAACCACCCATAGAAGGAATATGATATGGTCCTCACATATCAGTATGGACAATGTCAAAAATTGAAGAGCATCTTTTATTGCTTGCTTTAAAAGAATATCTACAATGTTTTCCTAGTTGACAACCCCCATACTCTAAATTGGACAACCTAACTAATTCAAACAACTTTGGAAACAAAAAACACAAAGAAGCAAAAAACAAAATGCCCTAACTGATTATGCCAAAGCATAATTTGACCCATTGACTTTGACTCACTATCCCTGTTGACATGATGACCGGGAATCACATCATGAAGATAGATTCAATTCACTTCACTTCACGACCACTCTCAATATCCTCTTTGATAATTCAAATTCTTTGTCAAACCACTAATAGATAAAAGGTTAGTGCTCAGTCTAGGAACATAGAGTACAGATGGTAGGATAATTGTATCAGTTATCTTGATACACCCCTTCCCAGCAATGGGAACATGGGATCCATCAATTGTGGAAACTTTGTCTTAATAGAGCAGAGGTGGTATGAGGAGA